ATTAAAAGCATGTCAAACATTTAAAACCACTTATTTAAAATTGCACAATCCAATATCATAGTCTGTGGCCTTTATTCTGTGGAGTGTTGTGTGTGTGGCAACAAACAGTGCAGTCTTCATTTAGGTCAAATGACCACAAAGGAATTCCTCTGCACACCAAACCTTCTCCCTGTCAATTTTTGGTCCCACGTGAGGAAAATTGTGAGGAGATCAAGAAGGATGTCTTTGCCAAAAACACAGATGACTGCTCCCTATTGATATTGTTGTTGTGCACCTTCAAATAATTTTGAATTAATAGTGACCCTGTGGTGGGCCCATTGCAGGGTTTTCTTGGCAACTGTTGGCCGGAGTGGAGAGGTCTTTGCCTTTCCTGTAAGGCTGAGAGAGTGTGGCTTGCCCAAGTCCACCCAGTGGGTTTCCATAGCTGAGCGGGGATTTGAACCCTGGCCTCAAAGTCGTGGTCCGATGCTCAAGCCTTGTGGCTCTGATGCTGATGCTGCTGCTTACCCCAAATGCCGCCTCCTCCTCTTCCTCCTCTGCGTCTCTAATGCATCCCTCCCTCACCTCCATCTTTGCTCTTCTCCCACTGCACCATCTCCTTGCAAAATATTCCACTTCCCTGCCTTCCTTCTAGGAAGTAGGGAATGGCAGGTGAGGCGCTTTCTAGGCACCTTCCTGCCTTCACCCACAAAGCAGATAAAGGGCAAAGCATCACCTCCTCACAATGATGCCCCAGCGAGGGTTGGCTAACAACAAAGGAAGGTCCATTTCCCATTCTCCTCTCTCTGGTCTTTGAGTCCCACCCCCTTTAAATTTTATTTTATTTTCTGGAGGAGAAAAACGACTCCTTTTTCTGTAAGAAAAAAATACATTATCATTGCCTTTAAACCATATTCCAGATTTTCCTTCTTTTTCTTCCAAATTAATGGTCTTGTTTTTTAAAAAAAAACAACAGCAAGATCTGACAATATTTTAATTAGGTTTGAATGAAAAAAAATGGAACAAGAATATGAATTCTTGATTTTGGGAGCAATTTCCCAGACAGTCCATTAGCCGCACAGCGAGATCTTTTCTCCCTTCGTTTTCTCCTTCTCTCAAATCCTCGTTGCTGTGGTATTGATTTTCCGCGCCGGGATGTAGTCCTTTAGACCCTTGTAGTTCTTTGAAAGTAGGCCCAGGCTGAAACGTAAGTGCCGGGCTGTCCAGGAGGAAAGGTGCTCATAATTATACTTTTCCTGATGAACCAATGTGGGAGGGGCGGGGGGGGGGGGGGGGGAGAAAGGCTCGGCTTGGGCCTTCTTGAGGAAGAGAGGAAGGACCTCGATGCATACAAAAGACAAGGCTGCTAAGTGCAGCATGTGCGCAACAGGCAACAAGCGCACCTTCTTAGGGATATGCCATACCGATGGCTGAGATCTATTTCAGCCCCCGTAGTCCGATGGCAAAAGGGTCTGAATAGGTATGTTCAGTCATGATCCCTTCATGCACCTGAGTTGATCAATCGTGCCAGGTTGATTAATTCAAGTGCACACAATGCGGAGGGCCCAATGCCCAATCCATCACAGGAGAGCCAGAAGAACAAGCGGGGACTCTCTTCTTCCTGGTGCAAGTTCAGCCTGCAGGAGGGCACCAGGCTCCTGCATGGCTAGAGGGTTCGGCTGCATGCCAGTCCCCGCACTGCCAGCCCATGTGTGTATTTCCTGACCCTGGATTAGGAAGAGCATTGGCAGGGCCAGTGAGTCACGGCCAACCGGACCTGCCCTGCTTAGTGCAGAGTGGAGGGGACCCTCCCCCCTCCACACACACACAGGATACAGCTGAGCATGCTTTGTGCCCATGAGCAGGCTCTGACGGCCATGCTCACCGAAAAACGTCCAACAACCCACGATTCCAGCCATGAAAGCCTTCGACAATACATTGGCATGCTCATGATTTGCATGGGATGCCTCCCTGCACCCAAATGACCTCACTACCTCTGAGGATGCTTGCCATAGAAGCAGGCGAAACGTCAGGAGAAATGCCTCTAGAACATGGCCCTATAGCCCGAAAAAACCTACAAGAACCACCTGGATTATTATTATTATTAATAATAATAATAATAATAATAATAAACCTTTATATATACCCTGCTACCATCTCCCGGAGGACTTGGTGCGGCTTACAAGAGGCCGAGCCCAAATACATCAATAAAACAACACAGCAATACAGACAATAAATAAACTCATAAGCAAAGCAATAAACAATAACAGTAACACCATGACGCATTAAAAGCCTATGGCAGGGCCAAATGTAATAATTAAATTTTTTTAAAAATGCTGGGCATGACAAGGTGTCATATAACTAGGATAGGTATTTGGAGAGAAATGGAGTAAGCAGATAATCCTAGATCATTAGTAAAGTGCGATTAGGGACATGTTGCTTAGGGTTCCTTATTCTGGGAAGGCACACTGGAACAACCACGTTTTCAGGCTCCTCTTAAAGACTGCCAGAGTTGGGGCATGTCTAATGTCCTTGGGGAGCGAGTTCCAGAGTTGAGGGGCCACCACCGAGAAGGCCCTATCCCTTGTCCCCACCAATCGCGCTTGCGATGGAGGTGGGATCGTGAGCAGGGCCTCTCCAGATGAACGAAGCGATCGTGTGGGTTCGTACACAGAGATGCGGTCACGCAGGTAGAGCCACCTATCTATTTACCTGTCTGTTTATCTATCTATCTATCTGTTGGTCTGTCTCTAGAATAGCAAAAATGAGGCCAGGTCTCTCTCTAGAATAGAGAAGCTGAGGCCAGGATCCCAACCAACCTGAAGGGCCTGGCAGAACCAGAGGGAGTGTCCCAAGGGAGAAAGGGAAGGACCTTTGCTCCCCAAAGGAAGGCACCCTCCCAAATGACCAGTGGAAGGAAGGCCAAAGCAAGGAAGCCACCACTCCTCTCTCTCTCTGTGCCTGAAAGGAAAGGTCCAATGCTGCCCAGGCCCCTTTGGCAGAGCTGGGCTGGAAGAAGAAGGTGAGGCCTGTGCCAGGCACCCCCACACCTGTTTCCCCAAGGGCCCCCACAGGATGGGGCTTTGTGGGGCTGGAGAGCAAGGAAGGAAGGAAGGAAGGAAGGAGGGAAGGGAAGGGAAGGGAAGGGAGGGAGGGAGGGAGGGAAGGGAGGAAGGGAAGGGAAGGGGAGGAAGGAAGGAAAGAAGGAAGGAAGGAAGGAAGGGGAAGGAAAGAAGGAGCGGGGTCTTCTTGAGGACTCTGCTCCTGGGGTCTCTCTGGGTCCCACAGCTGTCTGTCTGTCTGTCTTCTTGCCCCCACTCTTGCGTTGGGAAGGTCTTTTTTTTTGGGGGGGGGGGGTGAGCCGGGAGAGTGTGTGATGGATTTCACCTTCCCCTGAACACCTGGAGAAAAGGAGGAAACGAGGCAGGTCTATAACAGCAGGTCATGTTTGGCCCCAACCCAATGTGTGCAGCGCCCCCCCTCTGCCTCCCCCCCCGCACGCCCTTTCACCCCTGTGCCCCTCCCCCAGCCCCTTTTCTACCCAGAGGGCTTCCCCGGGTGCCTCCCGGATTGGGGGGCAATGCAAGGAAACACGGGCAGCCGGCTCAAAGGCACCCGGTTTGGGGCGTGCGGGGGGGGGGGGGGGGGGAGTCTGGCTAGGATGGCGGCGGAGCAGGGCTTGGCCCGCTCTCCCCCAGGAAGGAGCCCGAGAAAGAGGAGCAGGAGGAGGAAGAGGAAGAAGAAGAGGAAGAAGAAGGAGGAAGAAGAAGAAGAATGCGCACCAGGGCGCTTTGCGGGCTCTCCCCCAGGAAGGAGCCCGAGCAGGAGGAAGAGGAAGAAGAAGAAGAATGCGCGGCAGGGCGCTTTGCGGGCCAAGGCCGGCCTCGGGCGGCAAGGAGGCGGGGGCGGCGCCGCGCGTGGAAAAAGGACGGGGGGGGGATGGAGCAGCAAGGACACGGTCCTCAGTAGGGTGGGGGGAGACAGGATGGAGCTGCATCTAACCCCCCCCCCCCCGTCCTGAAATGGAAAGGGAATCCGTCCGGGAGTTTGCCCGGTCTGGTGTTGAGCATCAGGCCTCCTCCTCCCCGTGGGGGGGCTCCTTGTTTCCTCTTTGCTTGCTTGTTTGTTTGTTGTGGCGATGCCAGGGTGCGCCCCGAGTTGGGGTCTTTCCCTTGGCTTTTGCCCCTCTCCCCCCGTCCCAATGTGCTCCTTTTGTCTGGGAGGAGGGAGGGAGGGGGGCGGCTGGGAGTCTCTCTTCCCCCTGGCAGCCCCCTCCCCTCCCCATTCGCGGGGGTCTCGCGAGGGACGGGCCCTGCCTGGGATGTCATCTGTCAAAGGAGAGAGAGAGAAAGAGAGAAAAAAGGGGGGAGAGGAAGGAGAGGAGGGGGGGGGAAGGAAGGAGGGAAGAAGGGAGGAGGAAGGAAGGAAGGAAAGAAGGAAGGAAGGAGGGAGGAGGAGGAAGGAAGGAAAGAAGGAAGGAAGGAAGGAGGGAGGGAGGGAGGGAGGAGAAGGAAGGAAGAAGGAAGGAAGAAGGGGGGGAGGGAGGGAGGGAGGAGGAGAAAGAAAGAAGGAAGGAGGGAGGAAGGAAGGAAGGAAGGAAGGAATCGGGGAAAGGGAAGCCAAGGGAAGGGAGGGGGCAGGCGCGCGCGCACGCACACTCACAGCCCCCCCCCCTCGCTCGCCCGCCCCGTGTCCACCTGCCTTGGCCCTCCCTCCCCTCCCTCCCTCCCTTCCCTCCCTCCCTCCCTCCGTGTTTTCTGGCCCGTCCGGCTCCATCGAGCAAAGGAAAGAGGGAAGGAAGGAAAGGAGGAAGGAGGCCGGCGGAGGACCCACTCCCCGGGAGAAAGAGAGAGAGAGGAAAGGAGGGAAGGAGGAGGAGAGACCCTCCCGGCTGCCTGCCCCCCCTAAAGCCCCCAAGGCCCCTTCCTTCCTCGCTTCCTTCCTTCCTCCCTGCTTCTCCTCCTCCTTCCCGGGGATCCGGCGGGGCTGGGGGGGATGCGCCCCCCGCCGCGTCCCGCGCCATGTTCATCCCGCTGCCGGTGCCGCTGGTCTTCCGAAGGTCTCCCGTTGCCGCCTCCGCCGCCTCTGTCGCCTCCTCAGCCGAGAACAGCGAGGGATGGCGCCTCAAGCCCCCGCTGGCCCTCCGCTCGGCTCCCGGTAAGAGAGAGGCCTGGAAGGGAAGCGGGGAGAAGAAGGGAGAAGAAGGGAGAAAGAAGAGCGAGCCGGAAAGAAAGGGAGGAAGAAGAGAGAAAGGGAGCGGCGGGCCGGGCGCGCGGGCTTTTTATTCATGCGGTATTGATCCGGAGTGTCACTGCTCCGTATCGAACCTCCGGCGCCGGCTTCCTGCGGTCGATAGGCGGGCGGGCGAGGGTGGGCGGGGGGCGGGAAGCAAAGAAGGAAGGAAAGAAGGAAGGAAGGAAGGAGCCAAAGTGGAAAAGAGGGGCCCGGGGGTGGGGGGAGGAGAGAAAGAGAGAGAGAGAGGAGGACCCCAACTTTACTTTCCTGAGAACCCCCCCCCCCCCCAGCATGGCCCAGGGCTGCCCCCCCCCAGCACTCCAGGTTGTGGGGGTGTTGTTGTTCTTATGTGTTGACACCCACAAGGAGACTCCAAGCAGACCCAGCAAGAAGGGTCTGGCAGTGAGGGGGACACACACACACACGCACACACACAAACGTAGGCACCTGCCAGACTAGACTGGGACACCCCCCCCCCCCCAATGACAAAGCTGGGAACCTTTCCCTCTGACTAGAAGGGCAAAGCAGGAGGCACAGGCCAAATGACAAAGCTGGGCCCCCCCCCCCCTTTCCCTCTGACAGTTGTGACAGAGCCCCTTCCATCTATCCATCCAGACCCCCCCCCCCAACAGCTTGTGTCCCACTGACTAGAAGGGCAAAGCAGGAGGCACAGGCCAAATGACTAAGCTGGGGACCCCCCCCCCACACTTTCCCTCTGACTAGAAGGGCAAAGCAGGAGGCAGTTGTGACAGAGCCCCTTCCATCTATCCATCCAGCCCCCCCCCCCAACTGCTTGGACCCCACTTCCTGGCTCTGTGGGCCCCACAGTGGCAGTGCATGGGGGCACACACACACACACACACAGGCAGGCACATGCCAGACTAGACTGGGACACCCCCCCCATGACAAAGCTGGGGACCCCCCCCCCTTTCCCTCTGACTAGAAGGGCAACGCAGGAGGCAGTTGTGACAGAGCCCCTTCCATCTATCCATCTAGTCCGTCCCCCCCAACAGCTTGTGAGCCCCACAGTGGCAGTGAGGGGGGCACACATACACACACACACAGAGGCAGGCACCTGCCAGACTAGACTGGGACACCCCCCTCCCAATGACAAAGCTGGGACCCCCCCCCCTTTCCCTCTGACGAAGGGCTAAAGCAGGAGGCACAGGCCCTCCTCAGGCCCCCTCCAGAAGTTATGACAGAGCCCCATCCATCCATCCAGTCCCCCACATCCCCACACAGCTTGTGCCCTGCTTCCTGGTTCTGTCACTCTCTTGATCCTCCAGTTGATTCCCTTCCCGAGCAGCTCTGTGTTTTCTTCCTCCCAGCCAGGCCAGGCGTGACCCCACCTTCACCCCTCGGCAGGGTTGGATGTCGCCCTTGAACTCTGGAGAACCCAGGCCTGGGCTCCTTGATGGGAGAGGATGGGCATTTGGAGGGGGGGTAAAAGGGGGTGTTTCAGGGATGGGCACAAAAGGCCTTCTGGAGTGACCTTGGGGTGAAGGGGGGGGGCTGCTCCCCTGTCTCCTAAAACGAGGAGGAGGAGGCCTAGGCCTCTGGCTCCAGAGGAAGAGACCAGCCTGCCTGCTTGTCTGGCAAGGGCTCTCCCTCTTCCTCTTCCTCTTCCTTCCCTCTTAGGCCTCAAGCCTTCTGGAGGTTATCCAGGGTGGAGTGGCCCAAGAGAGGAAGCTTTGGCAGGGCTGGGATGGTGACCCCACACGGAAGAGGAGAGAAGAGGGAAGAGGCAGAGTGTGCCTGTGGTGTGTGGGGAGATGTGGCCTGGCCAAAGCAGCCCCTCTCCTCCTCCTCTTCCTCGCTGCCCCCCTCCCCTCCCCTCCCCCCTCTCTGCTGCAGCCTCTGCCTCTGCTGCGCGCGGTGTGGAAATTGTATTGGTGTCAAGCCCGGTCCGTGCTAATGAACCCGGAGATCTGGGAAGCGAAGCTTGTTCAGAGGCAGAAATCGATTTTCCTGGCTGTAGTAACTGCCCCCACCTCCGCCCCCGCATAGCCTCCCCTCCCCCTTCTCTCTCTCTCCCTCTTTCTTTCCCCCTCTTTCGCTTTCCTTCCCTGGCCAAAGAAGACCCTCGGTCTGTGCAGACATATGTGTGCACATGAGTGTACATGTGGACATGAACCATGTTCACAAAGCCAATCTGTGTGTGCAGGTGCACAAAAAGTTGTGGCCATAGCAGCAGCACCTGGGCTGCCTCTCCGCGTGTCCCGTTGGCACCAAATGCTCCACTGTTGTATGAAAGAGAGAAGAAGCCAGTTCCAAGAGGCAAGCATTCCTATTTTCATGCTCACATGGGCAGTTTTAGGGCCAAACTGGCATTTTGTGGCTTTGGCTTCCCATCACCTTGTCCTTCGTGCGTTGCAAGGTGTGTTTGCTCCTGGTATCTCATGCCTTTATGCGCCTTACAGCCTGGGTGTTGAACGCATTGGATTTAGACCGCTTTTCAGAGCGGCATCAAAACAAGGCTGCAACTCCTTCGTAGCAGCCTTATTCAGCATCCTGAATACTGTGTACGAACCCACACGATCTCTTCATTCATCTGGAGAGTCCCTACTCACGATCCCACCTGCATCGCAAGTGCGATTGGTGGGGACAAGGAATAGGGCTTTCTCGGTGGTGGCCCCTCGACTCTGGAACTCTCTCCCTAAGGACATCAGGCAAGCCCCATCTCTGGCAATTTTTAGGAGGAGCTTGAAAACGGGGTTGTTCCAGTGTGCCTTCCCAGAATAAGGAAACTCCAAGCATTATGTCCCCCTTACACTTTATCAGAGATTTAGGATACCTGCATACCCATCCCTCTCCAAAACCCTTTTCACCTGATCATGCCCAGCACTTTTTAATTTTAATTATTACATTTGGCCCTGCCATAGATTTTAATTGTGTCATTGTGTGTTTAATGTTATTGCCTTGATTTTAATTTTAATTTGCTGTATTGTTGTTGTTGTTGATGTTGTTTTATTGTTGTAATTGGGCTCGGCCTCTTGTAAGCCGCTCCAAGTCCTTCGGGAATTATTATTATTATTATTATTATTATTATTATTATTATTATTATCCTCCATGGCACCCTGGCTCTGCCTTCCATTCAGACATTCTAGGTAATAAGGTTGAGACTGACAGGCCAGTTATGAAGACACCGTCAATGTGTTGTGCCTGCTTTTTACATGATGTGATTTGAAGCTTGAAGAGATCTGAAAATATGCAAGTGGTGTCTGTATTGAACTGGTTCTCACGGCAAAGTAAGAGAGCAAGGTTTGGTATTCGGCCCAAGTCTTGTTCAAAGGGGAGGGAGCAGCCTTCGTATGTATGACTCGGTGGCCCCAAAGTGTGACTCCCAGGTGCCTAAGTTTCTGTGCGCATCCCTTCTTTCTGGGGCTGTGGAGACTCATCCCCACCGAGAAGCTCTGCCCTCCTTTGATTTGGGTGAGGACGTGGCTTTGGTTGCTGGAAGCCGGTTTCGTGTGCTTTGAGGGCTGATTAAAATCAAAGCAGGCACCTGTCAAAAAATCTGAGCCCAAGTTATGTCTTGAATTCCCCTGTCCCCTCTTGACAGTGGCAAGCCATGCGCCTGCTAATAGCAAACTAAGCCCTGCTCCATGAGTAGGAAACCTTTGTGGAGTTGAAGGACAACCTTCCCCAAAGGGAGGAGGAAGAGGAAGAGGGAGCCGATGGGACTGGTTTGGGAATGAAATCCATTCTGTTCCAGCACAGCATTTTGCGTTAACTAAAGCTTCAGTGCAGAGCTTCCTTTCATTTCTGTTTTCAATGTAAAATCTATACCTGAAAGCAGCTGGACAAAGGCTGATGCCAAGCTGTGCCAGGGATGGTTGACTCATGCCACTGTTTCCATGAAGCCACTGAAGCCTTGGCTGGTGTCTCTCAGGCCTGGAGACACCTTGGATGCATTACAAGTTTGGTTAGGATAATGGAGTTAATTTATGCTTAGGGCAGGAGGAAGCTCTCTTACTGTGATAGGTTTTTACCTTGATGTGTTCTTTTTTGACTTTATTTTATTGTGCTGTTTTAATTGGTGTTTTGTGCACCAGTTGCGCCCCTACCTTGGGAAGTCTGATCTGGCCACGCTCTTGTTGGTCCACGCTCTTGTTACATCCCGAATAGATTACTGCAACGCACTCTACGTGGAGTTGCCTTTGAAGACTGTTTGGAAACTTCAATTAGTCCAGCGGGCAGCAGCCAGATTACTCACCGGAGCGCCATACAGGGAGCATACTACCCCTCTGTTATGTCAGCTCCACTGGCTGCCGATCCAGTTCCGAGCACAATTCAAAGTGCTGGTTTTGACCTACAAAACCCTATACGGTTCCGGCCCAGTGTATCTGTCCGAACGTATCTCCCTCTATGTCCCACCTCAGAGTTTAAAATCTTCTGGGGAGGCCCTGCTCTCGGCCCCACCTCTATCACAAGTGAGATTGGTGGGGATGAGGAGCAGGGCCTTCTTGGTGGTGACCCCTCACATGTGGAATTCACTCCCCGGGGAAATTAGGTCATTGACGTCCCTCCTCTCTTTTAGAAGGAAATTAAAAACATGGATGTGGGACCAGGCTTTTGGGTAACCTGGCAGATAGACAAAGGACAATTGATGACTAGAATTGATAGGATTTGACAATGTGGAATGAATTTACAGACTCTGAGCTGGCAAACGTTGTGCACTAGATTGGTTTTATTGATTATGATGTATAATTGATTGTTTTAATTGTTTTTAATTACTGTTTATATATATTTTATTTTATTGTTTGTGTTGGCATCGAATTGTGCCTTTTGTAAGCCGCCCAGAGTCCCCCCTTGGGGGTTGAGAAGGGCGGGGTAGAAATGCGCGAAATAAATAAATAATAAATAAATTGTGGGCTTGTCCCTTTGTAAGCCACCCCATGTCCCTTTGGGGAGATGGAGGC